GCCTGGTGTGCTGCAGTCCATGGGGTCGCAAAGAATTGGACACGACTGAGCAACTGAACTGAACTGATACCCATCTTTTTGTTCATAATGTTTTTAGCCACCTTTCCATTTAAAAACAAACTATTTCCCTAAATCCTAATTAAACTTAGAGATTGTGCCACATTATGATTCATTATGACCTGCCTCAAAGCAGGTATCAAATGCTAAGTAAATTGCAGTCATTTTATCTTTTCGCCTAAAAAGCATACCTTTATATCTTTCAATGCAAAACCTAGACTATTCTATCACCACCCATGGATTAGGTGAAAGCAACTCCAGTCTATGGAGAGCCCTTGTCCAAGTAGCAGAAGACAGCACATGGCCTCTTTGCTCCCTTCTCTATGACCAATAATCAAAGATTTTACTGCTGGCCTTTGTCCTGACTTTACCAACATGACTCACCTTAACAGTGTAAATGTGAACATGATTTTATATGAATTTTCATATTAGAGACGTCTGCTCACTTAACATAAAGCTCCATTTCAATCACAGGCTTTTTTCCTTCTCAGAAATGATCAAGAAGAAATGTGGAAAATGATTCTTTGTTTTTTTGAATAGAAACTACCAACATTTTAACAAATTGATTTTTGCTGAAAATAAACATAATAAAGTAGTATTTTAAAAACGGAAAGTGAGGGATTTCCCTGCAACAAAATTTTAGGATTATTTAGCTGTTTCCAAGAAGACGAATAAAACTGTGAACATAATGGTTGACTTATTGAGAAAGAAAAATATATTATACAAAGACCAGAAAACAGAGTGGAAGAGAAAGGTCTGTAATGGCTTGGCTGCTAAAGGACATTTTTACTCTCATGCCAGCACTAAGTGCTCTTCCCAATGAATAAACCATATGTCCATTTTTATATGCTTCCTTTCTCTTAGATTCTGCTACTTCACAATATTCCCTTTGTCCCAGCCCCTGCCTCATCTTCAGCCACCCCCAGCCTGGCTCCCCCCATCCCTCACTTCAGCTCCTTGGGCAACCAGTATTTGTGCCCTAGCTACCAATTTGAACATCTGCTACCTGAAAAAAAAGAAAAATCACCTCATTGCCTAACATCCTCCAGGGCAAAAAGTTTGAAGGATTCAGCATCCTCAAAAAAAACAGCCACAGAAGGACAAAAAAAGCAGCAGCAGCAGCAGATCTTTTCCAGCTCAGTAAAATCTATCTATATAAAGATGAAATGAATAACACTTTTAAAAATTATTCATTGCAAGGAAATCCATGTTACCAACAACGCATTGTCTTTCTTTATGCATAGACTGAGACCCACACAGTTTATTTCATTTTTGCAAGTGTGTCTCTTTTTCAACATATTACCATATAGAAGAGATAGAGCATATATATAACTCCAGAGAACAAAATGCCAGTATTTCCTCTCTTTCTCTTGCATGTTTTTTTTTTTTTCGCTTTCTCTCTTTTTATGTCCCAAAACACTTCCCCAGCTGAAAGATAAGAAAATATTTTCATTGAATTAAAGTGAGCCCTGTGTTAAAACAGCTTGCCTGAATCCAGAGCTCTGAATCCAACCAGAGCTTCATTTCAACACTTGGTCAGCAGCCCTCCCTTTTTCATTTCTTTCTATCAGTGGCCTCGACTCCAACCTAAATTCTCATCACCACATACCTTTGCCCCCAAGGTTTTGCTAGTCCACTTCCTTGATATGTTTGCACTTAATTTGATTCCATCCTTCATGCTTTTTTCATTATCCTTAGCTCATCCACACCACATAAATTATCACTTTTGTTTTCAGTTCCAGTGTGCCCCCTTCACACCAATTCCAAATAAATACTGATTCTCATCTATTTAATCCAAATTAATTCAGATTCCCTCTCCTCATCACCCATCTCCACCTCTGCCTCCCCTCCTGTCTGTCTGTCTTTCTTACAGCACCTGCTTTCCCCTCCATGTTTGTCTCTGCAGAAGGTTTTACTGGCAAAATGCTTCTGGAGGGTGCAAGGTCATTGCTTCCTGTGTTGTTTTAGGAAAGCTGTGTTCTACATTACTGCCAACTTCAATGGGTCAATGTCTGCATGTCCAATTGCATCCTCTATGACGAGTGGCCGTGCATCACCACCTGGACACTGAAATTACGGAAGTGAGGAAAGAAAAGCTTCTTGCTTTTTAGTGGCATTTAACTTTAAGTGGTTTACTTCTAGTTTACATAAAGCTGTTTTTCTTTTTTTCCACAAAATCATCATTAATCAATATCATCAGCAATAATCAGGACTACAACCAACCCTATTACTGTCTTTAATGAGCTCTTACCATCTGCCAAGTAGTTTACATATATTTGGGCTTCCCTGGTGGCTCAAGGTAAAGAATCTGCCTGCAATGCAAAAGACCTGGTTTCTTGCAATTCCTCCAATTTTCTGCAGTTTCTCCAATCCCTGGGTTGGGAAGATCCCCTGGAGGAAGAAATGGCAACCCATTCCAGTACTCCTGCATAGAGAATTCCATGAACAGAGGAGCCTAGCAGGCTACAGTCCATGGGATCCCAAAGAGTCGGACACAACTGAGCGACTTTCACTTTACATATATTTACTCATTTAATTTTCAAAACAATCTAGGAGGTAAATTATCCCTGTTTTACAGAGAGGAAACTGAGACTCAGGGAAGATGCCTCAGGTATCCAGGTCATAAATCTAGAAAGCTGTAGAGCCAGAATTCAAACCTGAATCTCCTTGACTGCAAAGCCCTGCTTTTAACTGCTCTGCAGTACTGCCTTTCCAGTAATGCAAGGTGCCTTCGTGGATAAATTCCCCACAGGGAGGATTCTTTCCACTTTAATCCACTATAGGGCAAGTGGTTGCAGGTGCTGGGAAACATAATGAGTTCCACCTTGATAATCACTCTGAGTAGACAATGCCCAAAAAACAAAGCACAGAAGATGCATCACTTCTCAGAGTTATCCTCCTAACACATCCATTAGAAAGAGGGGACAGGAAAAAGAAGCAAATGCTCTGGACTCACCCCACCCCCCCACCCACCCCCGCAAAAAGAATCTCTGCTTCCCCAGAGATGCCCAGCCTCCAAACTAGGCAGGACATAGCCTGTCTTCATGTCAATAATTTGAAAAATGTGCTTATAACCATGAATTCCATACCCCCAACAAAGCTCAACCTTCTCACCTCATCCTGCCTTCTCTGGTTTCCTGGGGGGAAGAGGAGATGAGTCACAGCTGAATCCTGGGAGCACTGCAATGTCTTCTAGTTACTTTACTCACTGATTTGAGAAAGACAAATAAATAAAACTAACCTCCAGAACAATACCAGACAGGTGAAAAAAAGAAAAAGTTGACAGCAGCAGGAAGCTTTTGCCTTGAAGTATGTGGACTGGAGGACTCGAACTCAAACTCAAAAGGAACCATGAGTGGGACTTGAACCTAAGCCACGGGTTCAAAAGTAACCTTAGGATAACTTCCCATGAACCAAGCAAGGACCACAAGCAAAAGTCAGTTTGAAATGAGAGGAAAACATGCTTAAGTCTTACGCTGTGAGCAAACACTGTCCGCTATCATCCTCCCATGGGAATGACCTTGAAATTCAAGGTGGTGATGGTTTCAAGACACACATTATACACTCCTACCTCAGGGAAGCGCCTCTGTTCTACACAAAGACATTTCCCCAAAAAGCCTCCCCCAAGAACATTAGAGCTGAAAGGGGCCTCAAAAGCCAAATTGTTTGGCAGCTGTAGAAAATGAGGCCACCAGTGAGGTAAAGGGCTGTGCCCAAGGTGACAAAGCTAGTCAGCGACAGCACCAGGACTAGAACCTAGGTTTCCCCATTTTCCAACCAATGATCCATGCACCGCACACCTCTCTGGTAACACACTCTGCAAGTCACCACAGAGAGCCCGGAAGGCAAGCCGCAAGCCCAAGAAGAAGAACTCTCTCCAGACACATCTCCCAGCCTGGATCTAATCACCCATTTCCTCCCAGCAACACTCTGATTCTGCTACTTACACTTTCGGAGCTCTTCCCAGCTCAGCTGGTATTGTGCACGCAGTTTGAAAAAAACATACTGGCAATATCCTTTCAGGGACTCATTTAAAAACCACTAATGACAATAATTGCTCCTACAATGCTAACCCCAAGAAGAGACACCAGCCCTAAGTTTCTACCTCAAAGTAGAGGACAAAGACCAGATTCAAGAAAAATGCTAATCTCATTCTTTTCTTCACAAACCCCACTCTTCTAAATTATCCCATCGCTCCCAAGATAAGTATGAGTCCGGGGAGTTACCACAGAAGTCCTGAGTAAACTATACAGCCCCTGCCGGTCCCCACCGCCCTTACCACACACATAGCAGTGTAATCACTTTAGCAACTTCGCAGTAACAAGCTCATTAAAAAGCAATTCCGCCATCTCTCCATAAAGCACGCGCCAGAGAACAATGCAAAAGAGGAGATGCCAATTAATTATAGAATGATCACATCTAATGAACTCTGAAACCCTCCTGCTGTTGGTGACTTTGATGAAAAATCAGGGATGCTGGAAAAAGAGTAAATAGGGACACCCTGGCTACCTTGTTCAATTGCGAATTCTCTCCAAGGTAACTTCTCAGATTTCAGTGTTGATCAAAACTGCAGAATCACCCCGATCAAACAACGAAAAGTGTCAGGGAAGTGCCAGGTGCATACATCATGCACGGCTGTGAGTCACACAACCAGAACCCCTGTTCGGGCATCCTCAGCAGTGTCTGATACCACACCGAGGCTGGCATTGCCCTCTGAAAGGATCTCTGAGCCAGCGAGGGACAAACCCACGTCTAGTGCCGGGGACACCTGGAGATCCTAAGGTTAACAGGTGAGTCACATGGCTTCCCTCCCAGGCCCGCCTGCCTCTCTACACCTCCTAGCTGGCATGGATGCCACTTCGCGGAACAGAGAGCAGCCCGTCCCCCCACGAGGCTAAAGGAGGAAGAAGAAGAAACCACGTGCGGCCAACTTGTACCACTACCTGTGTGAGTCCTCTGGTGGGCCTTTAAGTGGGAGCTTTTTGTATAAACCTTCCGGCACCCGTTAAACTGACAGCGATGAACCCTCTTCTTGTTTTCGGGGCACGCCTCGGCCCCTACCCCTCCTTGATCACTCTCGCTCTGTCCACTCTTAACTGTCCCAGCTGCCGCCACGGCTGCCGCCGCCGTTGCCACCCCTCCCACCTTGACGGAGCCGAGCGCAGCCTTCTTGGCCACCAGTTTCAACGTCACTGTGCCATCCACGGCTGAGAGAGTCTGTGAGGTTTTCACCAGATGGCGGCTGAGCTCAGGGGACGATGGGGGCGTTAATGAGGTCACTGCGTTGAGCTGGGCCTGGTTGACGGCTGTGTAGCTGTCTAGAGAAGAGCTGGTTGGCTGGAGGCTGAGGCAGGTCTCAGATAGCAACTTGTCCCGAGAGAGCAGAATGTCCACGGCCGAGCTCTTCTCGCAGATGGTCGCTTCCACCGGGAGCAGCAGGGGGTCTAAGCGCCGGAAGCTCTCCTCGATGCATGGGGGAGGAGAAGCGCGGAGGAAACAGTCCAAGTCCTCACCGAAGGTCTCTGAGATCCTCCTGGGCTCTGTCTGCAGGTAGCGTTCCAATTCAAGGCATGTCTGCAGAAGGCAAGGAGGGAGGGAGAGAAACAGCCATCAGAAGCAAAGAACACCAGGGGACCACATGTTGACAGGCTGAGGAGGAATCTACAGGAAGGAACAGAGGATGCTTCCTGGCCTGAACCTGAAATTTCCTTGGTGAAAGGTCTGACCTTGTTATTTTTCTCCCTGGACACTTCTGAAGGGTTCACAAGGGTCACATCATATGAGCTCAACTACTACAGTTAATGGGGAACTAGAAACCCAGAAGGGCTATCTCACACCATCAAGTTCCCTGAGAACATTCAATGTTAAAATGACCTCACATCCCACAACCCAATTCGGTAGGTGAGATGCTCTAAGCCTCCCTACGAGCCCTTATGCAAGCAAGAAGCAAACAAACTCAGATGAGGTTGTCATAGCAAGGTAAGACTCCCCACAGTCCAACTTCATCTTTCAAACAGACTTTGGCAAATCACAAAGCACAATCGCTACGTATTGCGTGGCAAGAAGCCTGCGTCTCATTAGAATAGTTTGACATCTCTGTCTATGTGATAAAAATAAGTTCAAACACAGCTATTTGAATTGTTAAAGAAAAAGACACTATTTCAATTTAAGGTTTTCACCTGGTAAAGAAGTGAGGCAAGAAAAATAAAATCAGAAAAGTTCAGAGTTTCAACAAATCTTCATCCATGGTGCTCATAAGTCTTTGTAAGATGGTAGAAGTGTTTTACTGCAAAAACGGATATTTAAGTTTATAATATAAAAGCTCTCCTCACTTAACCCTGCTCTTTCAGAATCTGGTAGAAAACCATAGTCCTAACTTATGTGTGCTGAGTTACTTCAGGTGTGTCTGACTCTTTGTGACCCTATGGACTGTAGCCTGCCAGGCTCCTCTGTCCATGGGATTCTCCAGGCCAGAATACTGGAGTCGGGGGTCATGCCCCCCTCTAGGAGATCTTCCTGACCCAGGGATTGAACCCGTGTCTCTTATGTCTCCTGCACTGGCTGGCAGGTTCTTTACCAATAGTGCCACCTGGGAAGCCCAGTCCTAACATACGCCATCAGTTCAATTTGTTCTAACTTCTGGGGCTTCAACAAAGAAACACTGCTGGCTAATTTAAAATCTGACTAGCTCCTAATTCTCTGGCTCTCTAGCACTTCTATGTTTTCAATCAGTGTTGTGATTCTAGGCTTTTATTCTGTTAGGAATATATTTTAATGATATACCTGGTTGTGTTGTATCTGTCAATGATTTTATTTTGGTGACATTTCAAAAGATTGGTTTTTAATCAGCCTTCTGGTAAAACTGCATTACTGAATAAGAAAAGCAGATTTTTAATGATGAATCACCTTTGGGTCTCACTGCTGATTTTTAATAGTATAAACTAATGAATGGTTCCAATCTTCATTCAATACTCATGTCACAAGTGTTCATTCAACTACTGTGTTCACAGCAAGGTGCAAGGCTTTCTGTGTTCGAGGATGACATAGTAACAGATTCATGTGACATAGTAACAGATTCATGTGACGTACACACAGAATAAACAATTACAAGCTAAAATTTACATGAATTTACAAGCAAAGTGATAACAAATAACATAACAATAAAGTATGCTGACAAGTTCTTAAGGGATGAGTGGACAATGAATTCTGTACTCTCTGTTATGGAGGTGTTAATCAAGGAAAGCTTATTGGAAAACTAAGCTTGATTCTATTTTGCGTATTGATTAAGTAATAGCTCTTGCTGAGTAGCTTCCCACCACTTTATATCTAAAACCAATACTACCACCTTCTCAGGTCTAGAAATTTCTCTTATCCTTATGTGTCCCTTTTTTGAATTCTATGTTTCAAAGATTTTTTCCTTTCCTTTTTCCATCTCATTGCTAAAAATTATCATTTACTTCTTTCCAATATTAAAACCCCCAGTCTCAGCCCCAGTCAGTTCACTTCCGAATTATATTACCCCCCCCAAAAAACCTCCCTTTAACCTTCCCTTCCCTTTTTAAACCATCACGTACCAAGAACAGTGTCTAGTACCCATCAGGTACATAATGTCTGTCAACCAAAGATAAATCAACTTTATACTATTATTTTTAATCATTCTATTCCACTCCACTGTACAAAAGCTACCTGCTGACCTTAATCTGGACTACGCTGAAGCTAGATATGACCACTAATACATGTCTTCTAGAACACAATGCTCCTTTAGCTTTGTTCAAAGAGTAGAACCAGACTTTTGAGGCACAAATATGTTCCAGGGGGAAGTCAGCTGAATCATGGGTTAGAAGAGGTCCTTGAGACAGGTCCTCACACACAGGAACTATCTCACAGTCACCAGTGTCTATGGATAGGGCTTTTGGATGTCATATACTCTTGTATAGTTTTTAGCTCAAAGGTTCAAAAGTCACTAAGAAATTATGATTGTTACTAATAGGAGGCTCAGATCTCTTCATATTCAGAGTTCTGAGGAACTGAGATCCTATAAATGCATTTACACACTCTTCAGGGAGGATAAAAATTAACCTTCCCAGTATGCCCTAGTTTGAATCCCAGAATACACGGATCATACTAATCACCTAAGGATGGAGATACTTCTCATCACTTAAATATGGGAAAATCTGGATCACTAAGAGGCTATCTCTTGCAATCCTAATACAAGGCATTCTATTCCATCTGAGAGCTACAGAAGCATGAGAACCGATCAAAATATGCTGGATAGTCCTCTGAAATTATTATGGGATATTGTTGTCTTGAGAAATCTACTTCTTGTAATATCTGCTGGTGATGAGGCTTAGAGAGAAAAGAAGATTTTGTCAATCAGAAGCTCATCAAGAGTGCTGGAGAATAAAATATTAAGGATGAGGAGTATTTATTTCATTGTTAGATTATTTCCAAGCAAAAGAGATAGTTTATCTCTCATATTTAAAAAAAATAATTACAAGAAGTCCCTTAAGAAACACCTATGATGTTTAATTGGAATTTGTGGTTTCAATATTTATTCAGAGATTTCAATACATATTCACACAGAGATACATATAGTAATAAAGGTGTGTTTGCATGTATGTGTATACATGTATGTATTTCCTGGCTCTGTCAATCAGAAGAATCCACAAGCAAAGACACCCCAATAGTAGTGAGCACACTTGGCATCAAGAGCTTGGTTTCTAAATATCATTATCCAATAAAGGGAACCCGGGAGGGAAAGTTGATTCAAAGGCCTGAGGCAAAGAAAATAAAGATGAGTCTGGAGTATCTTGTTGTACCAAAAGGTAAAAAGTTCTCATAAAGTGATGGGTGTATGTCAAAAAGACACATGAGCCAACTTGAAGGGGTTCTCAAAGTCCAAATCTAGGGAATTTGAGCAATAAAAATGAATAATGATAATAACAGATTCTAACCCATGGAATAAAACTAATATTCATGAATCCACAGTGATATAAAAAAATGGTTGAATAAGAAAATGGAAGAGACAGATCAGCTCCTCCTTATAGTAAAATGACATTTAATAAACACAGAAGTATTGATGGAAATAGAAGATTGCTACTAGTCAAATAACAAAGAAATAATGACTTCCAGCAAGAATCACCAATGGATGTTAATATCAATAGATGAAGGTATAATGAGAAACAAGATATTTGTCTAGTCTCAAAGTATCCCCTCCCAATAAGACATTTATTAATTATAAAGATGAAACATAATAATTTTATAGCAGAGAAACCTGGCATGCACCATCTTAACCATATGATGAAATTTAGCAGTGTATTGATATCATATTCCAGTGGTATGATAGGCTGAAAAGGGCACAACATTACTCTATGCCTCTCCTGCCAAAAGTTCAATAACCTCAATCTAATCATGAGAAAACATCAGACCAATACAAACTGAGGGCCATTCTACAAAATAACTAGCCAGTATTCTTTAAAAGTACCAAGGTCATAAGGAACAAAGGAAGATTGAGAAGCTGTCACAGACTGAAGGAAACTAAGACAAGACAACTAAATGCAATAGATCCCTGTCTGGATCCTGGATGAGAAAAAGAACAGGGGTGGGGAAAACAATGTAATTCAAAGAAAGTGTATAGATTTAGTTCATGGTATTTTTATCAATGTTAATTTCTTATTTTGATATCTGTACTATGGTTATGTAATATTAGGGTAAGCTAGGAAAATATATACAGGAACTCTATGTACAATTTTTGCAACTTCTGTAAATGTAAATAATTTCAAATGAGAGAGAAAAAAGAAATACTGACTGGCAAACCAGAGTGTCTCCAGGTTGCAAATTTTGATACAGAGTTCGAATGTCTATTTTTCTACCAGAACCAGAGATTTGCATGCATGTGTGCTAAGTTGCTTCAGTAGTGTTCAACTCTTTGAAACCCTGCGGACCATAGTCCATCAAGGTCCTCTGTCCATGGGACTCTCCAGACAAGAACTGGAGTGGGCTGCAAAGCCTGCCTCCAGGGGACCTGTACTATAGTTATGTAATATTAAAGTAAATTGGAAATATGTATATAGGAATTCTATGTACACTTTTTTCAACTTTTGTTAACTCTAAATAATTTCAAATGAGAAAGAAAGAAAAAAGAAATACCCATCAGCAAACTAGAAGCATCCCCAGATTGTCAATTTTGATAAGAGTTCGAATATTTGGTTTTCTACCAGAAACAGAGATTTACTCTGTCCCAAAGACACTCTAGCCAGCAAACTCCAAACTAGAGTCAGCAGATGTCAATTTAATGACATAAATCATGGCTGTCTGGTACCTCACCTTGAAGAAATGAGCCTTGCTCAGCCTGAGCTAACAGTACAGCTTAAAGCTTGAGACACTGTATCAGCCTCCACCATCTCAAAAATCTACTACAGTCAGCAGTGAGAAGGAAAGATGCCCAAGTGAAAAGTGACTTTCTTATTATTTATGAGTCACAGATGAGTTTTGTGAAGGCTCTCTAATATCTTGATTTCAAAATGCATGGCTTCTTTGAGTTTTCTAACAAATATAACCTGAATTTGGTTTTG